CGGGTAGGGGTAACATGTACAGAGTTGTGCTGCGCTCCACATTCTAAGTGTATCGATTTGTCGACTTGATGATGATTGGTTGAATGATCGGATGGATGAACCGGTCGATCGATGAGCATTCGCGGACATGGGCATCGACCTGCCCACGCGACGCGTTGCAGTCAGCCGGTCGATCGACTTTGGACGCGGCGTCAAGATAACGGTATAGTGTTACTGTCGCTTATGCATACACACACACACCCACACACCGTATTCACTCGTTCTTATGTATGCACATCAATCACGTACGCACTATGATTTGTGCGTACATTTGTGTGTTTCCGGTTGGAGGGGTTCTTTTGTGTTGCCGCATTGCAACGGACACTGCAGCAGAGGCTGTGAACTGCAATCCGCGGAGTGCGTGTTGAGACGCGCCTTTGTATCGAAATTTGTGGGAGTTGCTGTGGTCCCGGCACCACGACACAACGACAAAAACACTCCGGTTTGGGGAGCACCGCGTTGTTTATCTGATTGTGTAGGTGTAATTGTAACAGTGCTGCGGGGGTGGGGGAAAGGTGTGCCTACGATCTACCCCACGTCGTACACCAAACTACCACACGCCAACACAAAGACCCGGGGACAAGAAACGAGGCACCAACGAGTTTGGATTGGTCGACTGTTCCTACGACCAGTTGTGTATACGTGTTCCGACCGTTCGGTTCGATCAAAAAGGCTCAGCACGCGTGTGTTTCTGCTCGTACACTCGCTCTCTATTTCGCATCCGTGTGCGTCGTCAATCCCATCACACGCACACCCGGTTTTGGACCATATCAGTCTCCATACTCCCATCCGTGTTCGCATTCGCCCAGTTGCGGTTCCCACAACGTAACAGCTGATCTGACTACTGTGATAGCACCGTTTACTGACTATGGCCACCAAGACTGTGCCACCTGCAACTTATGCTGCTGGAAATGCGCATTCCGCGCCCCAAATTCTTAGTCCTCTGGACGGTGTAACCGAAGTGCCCGAGGGTGAGCCCGTTCACTTGGAGTTGCGTGTTTCACCGCCTGGAGATTTACAAGTTCAGTGGTTCCGTGATGGACATCCGCTTAGTGCCGGTACGTTACCTGTTTCAGTGTTTACTTTTGGATAGCTTTTAAACCAAGTTTTCCCATTCCATTTTTGTCATTGTGCATCCTAGGTTAGTTTACAATAGAGGATGAATTCATTTTTAACTTCTACACGTGTCGAAAAGTATTTTAGAAACGCTGAAGGTTTTGTGCTTTCATTCAGATGTGACTCAGATGATTAGAGAATAGGATTCATAGAATGCAAATGAAGATAGTGACGTCTTGAAAATCTGCGGCTCCTCTTCCTCTTCTCCCACAATGAGTAGCTTTGAATTCCGAAGTTCAACCGGGATTCAACAATAAAAAAGTGATTCCGGTCATATTCCTTGTGCCTCCCAATGCGATCGTGCTCTGGTTGTTTTGTAGTAAATTGAACTACGGTGCTCAAATGGTAGGTATATCAGTCATGGTGTTCTTCGTAGAACTCCCCGGTAGTGTGTGTTTGTGTTTGTGTGTGTTCTAGGCGAGGATTCCTTATGACACAAATACTGATCAGAAAAACTTAATACAAAATAAGATGTATATTTGTCTGCTTATGTAAACATTACCAGATAGCATTTGGTTACAAGCAACAGTCTGTTGATGACATCCTCCGTCAACTCACCCTCCCCTACAAAAAAAAATCAGATGTGTATTTTTCAATCGCAAATCGAAAAGCTATCAGATCGGAACACCTTGCGCGTTGAAAGCGCCAGTTTTCCTGTACGAGTGAATCAGACTTGACGATCAAACTTTATGTTAGACCACTGAAAGCATGAACTTATCCTCACTTATGGTGACACAGCTCGGATAGAGTTCATGATATTTTTTAGGTCATTGGCGGATCCGGATAGAGTTGTTACATCCAATGTGTCCAGTCAAATACTATCACCAGGTGTAGACGCCCCCTGTCGTCAGTGAGCACCGTTTTTGTGGGTAAATTTTAGTTAAAGGGTTTCAAACTGTCTCAAATTGAACTCTTCGGAATTAGGAACATTGCTACAACCTTGGTTTACAGAATCTGAGTTTTTGGATGGTACTTAAATCCCCATGGCTTTACGCACCTGTTAAGGCAAACGATGAGGTCGCTTTTCCCGTTCGGGTATGTGTAGCGTTGTTGTTGCTCTGCATGGTGACACCGATACACGGAAAAAGCTACCGCGGTCGATGAGGACGACACGGTTTACAATCCAATAACCTATAGCTCCTAGAGATGAGACGGGGTTAGTACTTACCCACAGGCATCAGTTTGCTTCATGAGAACAATAATTTGATTTCACTTGAGTCACATTTTTTTAGAATGGCTGTTGTTCTATGTGCGGCTTTCTGGGATGATCTGTGAACAGATTTTGAGGTAACTTACATTGGTGTATAACGCATATTATGCATCTAAATCAGGAACGAACGTACAGATGCATATTCTGAGGCATATCTTCATACCATCCGGTAATAATATAAACTTAGAGTATCGTCATGGTATCTTGTGATTTCAAAATTGTGATCGAGGTGTTCTACATTACTTTTAAAATCTATTGGGCTTTATACCATCCAGTTAACGACTCAGAATTTAAAGAAAGCGCGATGCAATATATGATAGCTAAGTGCATATTTTGTCCAGTTTTAGAATTTAGTTCGGTCGCATGAACTGATTGACTTGAACAGTGCTCATCAAAATTGACTAGGATCCAACGCTTAGTGTGTTTTACTCGCTTCCCGCACGCTTGATAATTTACGAAAGATATTCAAAGAATGCTACTGCAAAACGACTGATTGATATTTCATTGATTGATCCAGCTAGGTAAGTTCACTTATCCGGTTTCATCTGAATTCTGCATGATTTCATTGATTGCCAGAAAACATGGGAGTTTTGATGCCAAACTGTGTAAAACGGAGAGCATGGAGCGGAATACAATCGTGGAGTTTCCTCTGAAAAATTCTCCCACATTGGACGAATAAGTAGCCCTGTTATACAAATTGTAAATTGGCTCAAATTTTTGTGATGAAACGTTCAATTCAGTCAAAGTTCTCTTTCCTGCGTTTAGTTGCTTGCCCCAATCCATCGCGTCTCTTCCCCATCCCTTCGAGCAAAACTTTGATCAAACAATCTGTCGATAATGGAAGTTAGTAGGACTGGGGATAGTTAGTTATCCTTCATATTGCCATTAACCCTTTTTGCTCCCTTTCACACCGCCCGCCCACCCCCGTCCCCATCAGGCTCCCGTTTCAACACA